ATATATATATATATATATATATATTTAATATATATGAAAGCTTTTGTTTTTCAGTTGAAATTGTTATGGTTGAAGTGAGCACAAAATAAACAAGCAAAAAATGCTGCAAACGGGCGTAAGCGACTGCATAATACTCATTCACAGTCGAAGCCGCAAATCAAAAGCATTTCATCAGTATAACCATGATAATCTTGAACAGATGATGATGAATAGATCAAGATGAGATGCTGAGGAGATTGTGAGGGGGAGATGATAATGAAAGGAGATCTAAAGTAATATCAAGCTGCAGAGGAGGAGGATCTCTGCTGTGAAACTGTGGAGCATATGAGGATGCCTCATTTGGGATTTATTCTTATCATCATCATATGAGTAAACCCAAGTAAAATATAAAATTTATTAGCATTTTGTTGAGTGCTTGAAAATTTCAAGGCCCTTAAGCACAGCTCAAACGAATATACCCTCTTCACAACGCTAGCATGAGCATGAAAACAGTTAAGCAAACAGACAGAAACATAAACAGACGCATGGCTTAACCGAGGATTGAGCTGTTGTGTTGTGAATCATGGCTCTATTGTTGCACTTGCAGTGAATCCCACATTGCTCGTGGTCAGCGATGTGAGTCATTTGAGTGTTAACAAAAGAAATTTCCACATTTTCACAGGGCACAGAGCGCAGCGCGCATTTATCAGCGAATACGCTGAGCAACAAACAAACAAACAAACAAACGACATGTAGATATCTAGCTAAATATAATTGCAAATAGTTGCAAGAAAATTAGAAAAATCATTTGAATAATGTGTGAATGTGAGTGAAAGTGAAATGGAAAGAAAAATCTAAACCAAGCGAGAGTTGATTAATAAAACAATAATGCATGAGACTTTTAAGTCGAAAGAGTCGCAGATAGAAGAAAAACTAGAGAAGAGCTACTACTATGTACTATCTACTACTCTTTACTACCTACTACTATTTACTATCTACTACTCTTTACTACCTACTACTATTTACTATCTATTACTACTTACTATCTACTGCAATCTCCTATCTACTACTATTTACTACCTACTACTATTTATTATCTACTGCTATTTACTATATAAAGCTAATTACTATCAACTATTATTGAATATCTATTACTATTTACTATCTACTGCTATTTACTGAATACTGCTATATACTATCTACTACTATTTACTACCTACAGCTATTTACTATCTATCACTTTCTACTACTATTTACTATCTACTGCTATTTAATGTATACTGCTATCTACTATATAATATCTACTGCTATTTACTACCTACTACTATTTACTATCTACTACTATCTACTACTAGTAGTACTACTATTTACTATCTACTACTATCTAATATCTACTATTTTAATGCTTGCAAGTGAATATATCTAATAATAAGGAATAAAGCAGGAGATTATAACATAATTGCAAAAGACTAGAGAAGCACTCTCTCTCTCTCTTTATATACATAGTTCTAAATATATATTCCTTTTATTTAATTTATAATAATAATTATGATTTGTTCATTTATGAGCTTTCATGCTGATAGATTGTCTTAGCTTTTCGGTAGCTCCCGCAATCCATTTGGCTCGTACTCGCAGGCGCTGAGGCGTGGCAGTGGTTGGGGTGGGGGTGGGGGGACGGTGCTCACAAGGAGTCGGCAAGCGCCGTCTGTGCTCGCCGCTTGCCTGGAAATGCTTGGCCATAAATTTGAGCACTGCATTTGCGTATGTTTGGCATCGTCGCAGCTGCCAGCTGCTAGCTGCTCTGGCTGCTCTAGCTGCTCTAGCTGCTCTGGCTATTGGCTGCCTCCGCTCGGTTAAATTTATGTGCAGATTTTTATGGTTAGTTCCTTTTTTGGCAGCACAAATGCACGCCGGATCTATCCGTCTTAGTGCACACACATTCAACACTTGCAACATTATGTTGCGGTTCGAGTGCCCGCCAGCGCCGCGTTATTTGCATTCCATGCGCCAGGGGCGTCGTGTCGGGGGGTGCAGCCCCCAGGTGCAAAGGTTGCCGCCGAGTTAATTGCGGTCTGGACTAAAAATAACTTATCCATTTTTATTTTTTATTTTTTTCATTCATTCTTTATTGATTGATGAGCCAAGGTTGAGTACTGCGCGCTGAAAGCATTTCCTCGACGCTCAAATAACAGAGAATACTAATTACCAGATGGCAGCGTCAACTGTAGACTATATTCAATTCGCTAAGCTTATAGAAATTCAAGAAGCTCTTGTACTCTCCATCAAATATACACTTTATTTATGCTTCGTCTTTAATCATTTCTTTGCAGTTATTATGTTGGACACGCCCACAAAGGCAGCTAACGCAACTGTAGAGTGAGGTAAGCGATATATATATTTAGTTATACATATTGTATATGCATGCACTTCCAAGTAGTTCATTTATTTTGTTTATGGCCATCATAAGAAGCGCCATTTGTAGAACTTTATCGAGCTCTCGCTCAAAGGAATCAAATTGCAAATTGAAATCGCAATTTGTGCTAAAAATCAATTTCCGTTTGGCTTTATGAACAAAAATATTTATTTGCTTCATGACATTTTAGATGCAAATTGAATGCAACAGGAGCAGCAGCAGCAGCCGCAGCTGTAGCTGTAGCTGTAGCTGTACCACCTTTCGTGTCGCCTCCTCGCACCGTCTCCTCCTGTGTAGCGCATCTATTTTAAAAATGTCTTGTCTTCGTGCTCTTTTTATACCCTGAATCTATTGAAAACGGGGAATCAGGGTATAATGTTTTTGGGAAAATGTATGTAACTGCCAGGAGGCGTGGCAGATCACATAATGTACAGACAAGTTGCGATAATTCGAAATGTGGTCATTAATTTATCGATTGACACAAAGCTAATTACTATCTAATTATCGAGATTTATCGTGAACGATATCTTTTTAATGGGATAGTTTCTTCAGAAATTATCGAAACTCGACTGTAAATATATTCTTGATTAGGATATTGAGCTGAGTTGAACCAATCACGTCCGTCTGCATATCCGCCCGTTCACCTCTTCGCTCGTCTGAACGCATAGATCTCGTAAGCCGCTAAACCTAGAATTTGTAAACGTTCCACATACATTTGTATATATAGCTATACGAGACCCAATAAGAGTTTATAATTTATCGATAACATGTATCATTTTCCTATGATCGATAATAATCGATACTTTAAATTCGATTTTAAGTTAAGTTGAATATTGGCAAAGCTGGAAATATAGGGTTTATTGTGTAGGTCCACTTAAGAACTATAAAGATGTTGCAATTTGTAGGTTTCGGATACCACGCCCCCTTCGCCGCAAATTTGAAACAAAATGTACTTTAAGTACTAGAGACTTTTTGCTTAGCTTAGGGTATCTGCCAGTCGAGCAAACTCGACTAGGGCACTCTTACTTCTTTTCATTTCGTTGGCATAGCGCCAATTTTTTGTGTTTTCTTTTCTTTTCGCGTAATTTTGCGTTTACCTTTTGCAAGTTAGATTCGGACTCCAGCTGTGGCTGTACGCATTTAATTGTGTTGACAAACGCCCAGTGATATACATATGCATACATACATATCTATATATATAATTGAATTTTAAAATATGTGCAATATTCGCTTTGAAGATGCGAGATGAGAGGGCAAAGTGTGAAGCGTGAAGTGAAGCGGAGTCGTTGAGAAACTTGCTTGGAGCCCATGAAATTATAGTTGGCTATTTAATTATATGTTTATATTGATTGAAAAATTGCAATTTTTATTAGGAATTACCAAAAAAGTCTTGTTAAAGACTTGTGAAAGCACTGAAGGCTTTAAAGCATTTAATGGGAAATAAATCAAACGCTAACAGGTGACGATAAACTGTGTCGGAATATTGCCCGAGCCATGCAAATTGTTTCATAAATTCTTAATTTTTAAGTGAGCTGCTCGTCTTGAAGCTATAAAAAGCGCAAACAACTTTGAATATTTTATGGCTTAAATGCTTGAAAACAAAAGCTTCGAGTGCCCGTAGACATACAGCCCTGGTAAGGCTTTAGGGTAGCGCCTTCTCTACTTGCCTAGATTTTCTCAAAGGACATATATACATACATATGTACATGCATATCTATTTATGTTTTTACACACTGACGGAAGTAAATTGCAAATAGTTGCTGCCCTTCGCTGACTGACAGTTGATGCGCTGAAAATGCTTTCAGTTGAGTTCAGTTTTAGTTGAGTTGAGTTTGTTTTCATTAATTTTTATAGTTTTTTATTTTTGGCCAAGCATGAAAATGCCGCGAGACGTTTTTCCCTCCCATTCGCAACGAGCTGGCTATAGCGTCCAATGTAAAGCCAAATCGAGAAACCAGTTCAAAATGGCCGCATAAATATAACCAAAATCAGCTAAACTGGCCTAAACAAATGCATTGGCCAAAGTCAGGGGAACGAGCGAGCCAAGTTCGTACGTGTTGCCTATGGGCAAGTCTTTGGAGTTGATTGACTTTACTTTAGAGTGGCTCTAAGGTGAAGTATTTTAAAAGTATTTACATATACATATGTGAAGCAGTTGTTGGAGTAAATGTGGATTGGTATATGATGATGAGTCGGTGCTTGGGGCTTAAGGTGTAAATTTTCAGTTGTTGCAAGTGCGTGGTATTTGGCAGTCAAGCAGACTCGATGAGAGTTTCAGAATGAAGAAGATGAATTTTTATATATATATATATATATA